GAAGAGCAGAACAAGATGCCCTGGCCAGTACAGAGCCCCTGGGAGCAGGGAGGCGCATTGCGGTGCGCACGATCCAGCTCAGCCACAACGAGCGCCTGGGAGCGGGAGTCCCATGCGCATGCACGTGCGAACGATGCTGGCCTCCAGCACAAGAGCCCCTGGGGAGCGGGAGTCCAGCACATGCAAGGGTGCCTCATGGGGCCAGACGAAGGAAACAGGCTGAGGATTTGCACAAGGGTCGGTGGAAGCCCCAAGGCCGATTTTGGCCCCTAGCATTTCGCAAGGCAGATGTCACTTGGCACATTTTTGCCTGTCTCAGGTTGGTGCATCTAATTGCTTAAGTCATCAGTGTCCTCGACTATGCCTTGTTTTTGATCACGAATGCTTCCTGCTTTCGTTGAGTGGGCTGACCTGCCTTCTCTTCAGCGGTGGCTCCTTCTGTGAGCACCTCGGCATCCCGTCGGCGCGGCCCGGGTGGCGGAAGGTTCGCCTGCCCGCCGCTAACTGCTTGACACTTCCCATTGGCCAGGACACCCGTGCCGCTAGTGACATGGTTTTTAGCCACTCCAGGGTCCGCTGGACAACCCAGCCAGGTGGACACCACGGCAGGGTGAGAGATGGCAGCGGCCTCCCGGCTGGTGAGGACGGCTGGGGCTTCCCCAGCAGCACCGAATCCGCCTGCGGTTCTTCATGCGCTTTCCCAGAGGAGTGTGCAGCAGGACTCAGGAAGACGGGGTCGAGCCCTTTGACCCTCCTCCTGTCCTCATCAACCCAGAACGGATGCTCTTTGCTCCTGGACGCTATCGCCTGGTGGTCTGCAACGAAGGTGTTTTAACCGCCTCTGGGGGAGAGCGTCCTGGCCAGCCCCGTCCATCGCCCCCGCCTCAGTCTTCGTGGTGGAACCACATCGCGAGGGACGCCCCGCAGGAGCAGAACACATGCTGGGGGGCCCGCTCACAACTCACCGGTGCAGTGCTGGTGCTCCTCATCGGGGCATGGGGAGGCGGGCCACACATGGGCCCCACAGCACTCATCGGGCCAGGATTTGTCACTGGAAGCCTAACAAGGGCTCTAGGAAAGGGAAGTGCCACACCACTTGTCTCTGGGTACAAACTGGCTGAGGCAACGGCGAGAAGAGCCATCCGTTGCAGCTTGAGGATGATTGGTGGCTTTTTAACCATACGCTTAAGTTTTTTGTTGTTGATTGTTTTTGTTTTTTGTTTTGAAGAAAGAGTCTCGCTCTGTCTCCGCCCAGCCGCTGGGTGCAGTGCATACCACTCGACTCCTTACAACGTTCACTCTCAGGTGTCCAAGCATTCTCCTCTCTCAGCCTCCGACTAGTGAGTATACAGGCCAACCTGCCACCCACGCCCGGCCTAATTTTTTGTGTTTTTAGTAGCGAGATGGGTTTCCCAATGTTGCCAGGATGGTCTTGAACGCCCTGCCTGGCACTGACCTTCCACCCACCCGTGTCGCCGCCAAGTGGCCATTCAAGATTTATACATTCATAAGTGCTTCCACAACCCTCAGAGGTCCCTTCTGGAGAGGCCCTGCTTTGCAGAAATGTGCTTAGCTGCACCAGCGCCCAGAAGGCCTCTGACCGCACAGGGTCTGCCGCATTTTGGGTCTTTGTTTCCTTCCCCTATCCTGTGTCCGGGGCCACTGCCCACTCACATGTGGCAACCCCTCCCTCCTTGGCATCCTCCCCCTGCTCTACTGTCTCCGTTGCTGCTTTCAAATCTAAATATCAGGTTCGTCAGGTATCCATCTCTAGGCCTTTCAGGGAAGCTTTCTTCCCTGGTATGACCTCCCTTCTGGGTGCCCTTAGAAATGCTAACCTCCCGATCCTTGTCTCTTTTCCCCAAACCTGCTCTTGTGTCTTTATGGTTTCTGTCTTTCGCTACCTGGTTGTGTTCCCACCACTTTGATCTTAAAGTGTTTAGGGTTGATTGAATTCGCAGGTGAGAAGGTCTGCAGCTGGGTGTAAATTACCCCTCTGAGTCCATTTCTCATTGCACAATGGGGGTTGTAGACCTGCCTCACAGGGTCTCTCTGAGGACAAGGTGGAAAAATGGATGAAAAGCGCCTCGCACAATGATCAGGACACAGGAGATCCCAATGAACACGTCCCTTTCCTGCCCTGTCAGTATCCCCTTTGTCTCTTTCTCTCCATCGTCTCGGCCTTGCTCTGGCTTATCTCTTACTCTTGGATCTGACTGGTTTATCCTCATCCTACTCTCTCCCCATCTAGTCCTTATCAACTGCTAAGAGATTTGGTTCTCCAAAGCCTAACTTTGCTCATATGTATCCTGTGCTTTACAAATGTTTGACTTCCCTGCTGAGTGTGGTGACTCATGCCTGTAATCTCAGCACTTTGGGAGCCCGAGGCAGGTCAATCACCTGAGGTCAGGAGGTCAGCAGCAGCCGTGCCAACATGGTGAAACCCCACATTTATTAAAAATACAAAAATTAGCCTGGGCGCAGTGGCTCACGCCGGTAATCCCAGCACTTTGGGAGGCTGAGGCGGGCAGATCACCTTAGGCCAAGAGTTCAAGACCAGCCTGGCCAACATGGTGAAACCCCGTCTCTACTAAAAATACAAAAATTAGCCGGGTGTGGTGATGGGCGCCTGTAGTCCCAGCTACTCGGGAGGCTGAGACAAAGGAATCGCTTGAACCTGGGAGGTGGAGGTTGCAGTGAGCTGAGATTGCACCACTGCACTCCAGCCTGGGCGTCAAAGCGAGACTCCATCTCAAAAACAAACAAACAAAATTAGCGGAGTGTGGTGGCAGGCACCTATAATCCCAGCTTAGAGTTCTGGACTGTAAACTGCACACTAACACTGGAATTTAACAAGCCAGATGATCAGAGTAACTCTTGTTGAATAGGAAGTTATTTCATTTTTAACCCCAGTGATTTTGCTCTCTCATACCAAAGGTTTGTCATAATTGCTGTAGTTTCTACTGTGATGTCATTTAAATTGTTAGCATGCATCCATTTTTTTAAGAATAAAATGAGACTTAAAAAATAAAACTGGCTGGGCACAGTGGCTCACACCTGTAGTCCCAGCACTGAGAGGCCATGCAGGGCAGATCAGTTGAAGCCAAAAGTTCAAGACCAGCCTGAGCAGCATGATGAAACCCTGTCTACACATACAATACAAAACTTAGCCCATTGAACGACGCAAGGAGGCGAGGTTGCAGTGAGGTCGAGATCACACCACCACACTCCAGCCTGAGTGACA